CCTTATCAGGAAGGAGTGAAATACTATAACCTCAACAGTGAGGAGGGTGAGAGGGGAACAGAGCTACTAATGTGATTAAGCAGTAGTAGGCAAGAGTAATGGCCTCAAAAGACCCAGTGTCTACAAGGAATCATCAAGACTTGAAAGTCTGTTTTTGTATTTTGATCTGACAAGTATGTACTTGCTATAAATTTATGTACAGAATTAAATATACCACTAATTAATTTATAAACCATAATAAATCCAGACAATCATTTCCTCTCACCTGCAGATCTTGCTTTGAAAAAGAAAAACATGTACATATGCAAATTTCAGCAATATCAGAAATTTCATTAAACCCAAGTAGAGTCATAATTCATTCTAGAATTCAATGATATGTTTGCAGAATCACTTAACTATAATCATAGACAACTACCATAACATCTTTGCAGGGCAAAATTATTGTTATTCACCAGTGAGAATAATTCAACTGCAGGCTCTGCAGCTTTGGTGAAGGCACTCAGCAAGTTCTTTTCACATAGAGCACCATTACAATTGTTTCTTCCTATTTTACACAGCAATTGTCTCAAAACCTGGTATCAAAATATTTACAAATCAAGTGAACAACAGATAAGCAAACAAAGACTGAGACCAGCAGTGCATAAACTTATGCAAAGAAGAAAGTGGCCCATTCACAAGCTGATAAAATTGAACTTTTTAAATACAAAATTTGTTGCTGGGGATTTCTGGAGTAAATCTCCCAGGTTCCTTGCCCACACAGTGCTAATGTCACTCATTTTCATGCTTGAACAGTGAAATTAGAGCAGCTAGCCTGTAATTCTCAAACACCATCCATAATAATACTGAATATGAATGGTATCAATTTCCCAGTTAAAAGACAGAGATTAGGCAGGTACAGTGATGCACACCTGTAATCCTAGTGGCTTAGGAGGCTGAGGCAGGAGGATTGCAAGTTCAAAGCCAGACTCAGCAAAAGTGAGATGCTGAGCAATTAAGTGAGACCCTGTTTCTAAATTTAAAACGTACAAAATACGGCTAGGGATATGGCTCAGTGGTCGAGTGCCTCTGAGTTCAACCACAATCCCCCTATCGACCAAAAGACAGAGATTAATATAATGGATCAGCATTGGAATGTTACTCAGCCTTAAAGAAGAATGAAATTATGGCATTTGATGGTAAATGGATGGACCTTGAGACTATCCTGCTAAGTGAAATAAGCCAAATCTAAAAAAACAAACGCTGAATGTTCTCTCTGATAGGTAGACACTAATGCAATAAGAGGGTGGGGAAGAAGGAAAAACAAAAGTTCATTGGATTAGATAAAGGGAAATGAAAGGAAGGGAAGGAGATGGGAATACAAAAGACAATAGAATGAATCAGACATAATTTTCCTATGTTCATATATAAATACATGATCAGGGAAACTCCACATCATGTACAACTACAAGAATGAGATCCTAATTAGAATAAATTATATTCTATGTATGTATAATATATCAAAATACATTCTACTGTCATGTGTATCTAAAAAGAATAACCAAAAATATATATTTCTTTAAAAACCCATAGTTGATTTAAAAAGAAAAGATCCAATCATATGCTCTTTGCAAGATCTCATAGGTAGGGACACTCACAGGCTGAATATATAAGGATGGGGGTGGGGAAAAGCCACACTAACAGAATCTCAAAACAAGCCAGAATATCCATTCTCCTATCTGAAAAAGCTGAATCTAAGCAAAAATTAATCATAATAAGATGTCATAAAAGCTAAGACAAAGAGGGCCATTTTATTCTGGTAAAGGGAATACAAAGAGAAGAAATAATGACAATGTACATGCAACAAATGTCAATGCACCTAATTACATTAAAAAATACTTCTTGACATTAAATCCTAGATATACCACAATACAATAATAGTGGGAAATTACAACAAACATCACCAACAGGCAGATCACCAAGACATAAAAATCAATAAAAATGAATCCAACTTAAGTAATACTATAAATCAAATGAACCAAAGAGATATCTATAAAATATTCCACCCCAAAACAGCTGAATTTATTCTGTTCTCAGCAGCTTATTGAAGCATCTTTAAAACAAACCATATTCTAGGTTACAATATTAAGTCTTAGCAAATACAAAAAAGAAAACTTATATAATTCCATGTATCACATTGGAAAGAAACTAGAACACCAAGAAAAATAACAGAAATCACACAAATTCATGGGGATTAAACAATATTTTAAATTAAGAATGAATCAAAGAAAAAATAAGGGAAGAAATCAAGAAATTCTTAGAAACAAATGAAGACAGAGATACAGCATATCAAAATTCCTGGGACTGTGTGAAAGAAATACTAAGAGGAAAACTGATTGCATTGAGTGCCTACACTAAAAGAAAATAAGATTCCAAAAATTAAACATCTTGCACATCAAAGTCTTAGAAAAGAAGAACAAACAAATTCCAAAATCAATGGAAGACCAGGAAATAATAAAAATCGGAGTTAAAATTAATGAAATTGAGAATTTAAACAACACAAGATCAACACAACAAAGAGTTGGTTCTTCCAAAAGACAAGTAATATTGATAAATCCTTAGCCAAACTAACCAAAGAAAGAGAGAAAAGACCCAAATCTACAATGTAATTAATCACTTAAACAGAAATAAGAACAAGAATCATATGATCATCTCAACAGATGCAGGAAAGGCCTTTGATAAAATACAGCAACCATTCATGTTAAAAAAAAAAAAACACTGGAGAAACTAGGGATAGAAGGAACTTATTTCAGCATTATAAAGGCAACACATGACAAACCCAAAGACAGTATCACACAAATGGAAATACATACTACAAACTTCCTAAAACATGTTCATGATCTGTATGCTGAAAATGCAAAATGCAAAATGCTAATACAAGATGTATTAGAAGACATAAGAGTCGTATCATGTTTGAAGGATGAAAAAAATCAATATGCATATGCAATAAGCCAAAATAGGTTTAATGTAATTCCTACTGAAATCCCAGAAAATATCTTTCAGGGAAATACAACCATTTTCAAAATGTATTATAGAGAAGTATTGACCCTGAAATAGCTAACTAGAACAGTGTTGACAAAACACATATACAGTGGAATGAGTAACTACCTGTTATTAAGACTTAGTATACAACTAGAAAGGAAATAGTTTATAGGAATATAAATTTTCAAAATGGTTTCTCATGATCTTCTGTATTTCAGAAGTGTCTGTGGTAACATCTCATTTCTTATCTCTAATTCTGTTTATTTTTAAAAACAATGACAAATTTCTGGACACAAATGATCTACCCCAATTGAACCAAAAAGATTCAGAAAACCTAAACAAACCAATATCCAGAAATGAAATTGAAACAGCAATTAAAAGCCTACCAACAACAAAAAGCCCAGGACCAGATGGATTCTTAGCTGAGTTCTATCAGACATTAAAGAAGAACTAACACACCAGTCTCCCTCAAATTATTCCATAAAATTGAAATTTCCCCTGAAATTAATTCTAAGAAGCTAGTATAACCCTGCTACACAAATCAGACAAAGATACATCTAGGACACATCTAGGAAACCAAACACCAATGCCCCTGATAAACATACATGCAAAAATCATCAACAAGATATTAGAAAACTGCATCTTAAAAACCTATGAATAAGATAATACACCATGATCAAGTAAGTTTCATTTCAGGGATACAAGGTTGGTTCAATATATGCAAACAATAATAATAACTGATCTCATAAAAATTAAAAACTTCTTGGTAAGAATTCATGTGAATATGAGGATTACACAGCTTACAATGTAAAAAAAAATTACAAATAAAAAATTTCAAAGAGGACCATTACCAAGAAGATATGAAGAACCCTCTAAATCATCAATTTTAAAAAACAATACAATGAAAAGATGAGCAAAAATATTTAACAGACATTTTACCTAAGATTTTGTAGGTGGCAAATAAACATGAAAAAAGGATTAACATAATAAACCATTAGAGAAATGCAAATTAAAACCATAATGAAATATTAGGACAAAACTAGAATAAAATACTGATAAATATAATGCAGATGTGGAGGGCATTTTTCAATAAAATCAGAAAAAAATATTGATAAAATTTAATATCCGTTTATAATACACTCCAGTAAATGGGAATAGAAAAGAATTTCCTCATTCTGATAAAAGGCACTTATGAAAACTAGAGTGAACATCACACTCGATGGGGAAAGATTAAATGCTTTTCCCCTAGGACTAGAAACAAGAAAAAAGATGTCCGTGCTCACCACATCTATTCACGGTTATTCTGTAGATTCTAGCATTCAAACAAGATCAGACAAAGAAATAAAAATTAGAATGTAGTAAAAATGTGTCCATTGTAGATTACATGATGTATTACCCAAAAAATCCTAATTAATCTATAAAACACTGGAACTAACAAGTGAATTTAGAAAGTGGCATGATATAAGGTTAGTATACAAATATCTACTGGAAATTGAAACAATTTGGGACAATTGCAACAATGATTTGTCCATTTTTTCCCCCAGTACTGAGGATTGAACCCAGGAGGGCCTACCACATGCTGGGCAAGCACTGAGCTACATTCCCAGCCTTTTAAATTTTATTTTGAGACAAGAGTCTCACTTAGTTGCCCCAACTGACCTCAAACTTGTGATCCTCCTTACTGAGTCTCCTTAGTAGATGTGACGTTATAAATAATAATTATGTATTGACTAGCAATGGCAAATAAGGCCAAATAAATGGAAAAGCATTCTTTTTATATAATCAGTTACAAAATATTAAATTTGAAAATATTCTATAAAATATCAATTATATTACTTTTATTACTGAATGAAATTTTATTTTTATTGTTGAAATTCCTAACTGTGGGGGTCAGATAATTTTATAAATAGCTAAGATGCTTACTTACACACTGAGCATGTTCATTCAACTTTTTTTTTCTTTTCCAGTGTCACATAACATACCTTAGATAGTCTTTTAGAAGATTCACAATTATGATCTGTACATGGCTTGGGTCCTTTTTCAGTGTCTAGAGATGAAACTGAGAAAATATATTTTATCAAGGTTCTAATGTACTGCATCACAATATTTAAATTGGATTTTGAAGATCATTTGTCTAATATTCCTCTTCCATTAAAAATTTAAGCAATTTTTTCTAATATTACGTAACTCTTTAGAATGAACCTAAGCCAAATATTTGTTTTATGTAAATCAAGAAAACCTCTCTTCTATAATAAACTAAATTAAATTTCTTGATAATGCTTGGTTATTTTTATTTTATAAAAGTTTAATGATAGATTTATTTCAACTTGTATAGCATATATATGCATAAGTGTGTGTGCATTCATTCAATCGTATATTTAACTCTGACCATATATTATAATGTGTGTCACTAGCTCAAATCAATTCTTAATGTTTTCCGATAAAGTGATAAATGCAAGATGAACTCTGCTAATAATACTGGAAAGAGAATGAGACTGGATTATGGTAGTGGCCATCGTAACTGAAATGAAAAACATATTCATACACGTATGTCTCATTATTTATCAAATAACTACCAGGAGCCAACTATGCGCCAGATAGTATTGTTCTAGGTATTTGGAATATATAAGTAAACAAATTCAATACTGAAAAAATTCCTACTATACTACCAAGACTTAAAACTGAAAGAAGAAATAGGAAACAAAGGATTTCTAGTAATAATCTTTCTGAATCATAGCATCAATCTCACTGCCTCATTAAAGCTCTAAAACCTTTAGTTTCTCTCAACTATTCATCAAAATATATAGAAAGAAATCTTATTTTGAGTCCTAGATCTATCACTAATAAACAGATAAACAGACATATTATTTACTCTCAAGATTTTCACATTCTATAAAAGAATAGGCTGAATAATGTGAATTTTCCCCATTCTTTAACATCTGTGTGAATATGATTAAAATCATAAATATTTCAGACCAACAAAGCTACTAATATTTTAGCCATTAGCAATAATAACTACTTGATTTTCCCTATACTCCTACCCATATCTCTCATTAGCTATTATAGAGTGCTCCAAAAATGTATACATGATATTGTTTGTTTTCTATACAATTCTTTCTAAAAATCAACAATTTACTATGGAAGATCTCAATCATCCATCTCCTTAGTAATACCTCCCCTACATTAGAGCCCACAGAGCGTCTAAAAAACTTTAATGTGTATTTACTAGATAAAATCTTTGAATCAACTATCTCCCATATGTTCAAGGAGCTGGAGAAAATTATGGACAAAAAAACTAAAAAAAAAATCAGGAAAATCCTGTCTTGACAAATAAAGAATATAAAAAAAAGTTAAATAATACAAAGGAATCTAATAAAAATTCTAGAACACAAAATTACAACAAATGAAAGGAATTTATAAAGATTTTAAAATGGATTGATCAGTCAGAAAAAAGAATCAATCAACTTGAAGATAGTCATTAAAAGTATTTAGTCAGTGAAGAACATAAAAAAATGAAGTTAGGAGACCTGTAGGATAACACCAAATGTATCACATACACATAAAACAGGAGTTAAAATAAGAGAAAAGAAAAAGAAAACAGAATGAATATTTAAATAACAAACAGTTAAAATTTCCCAAATTTGAAAAAGGTATAAATTTACATGTATAAGATGATCAGAGAAATCCACATAAATCCCAGGGGAAATGCAAGGAATTCCACATTGTGTCATATTATAATCAAACTGTCAAGTGTGAAAGAGAAAGACAGAATCTTGAAAGCTGCAAGAAAGAAGTAATTTGTCACATATAATGAGTCTTATAATAAGATCAACATCAGACTTCTCATTAAAAACCATGGAGGGTAGTATATATTGTTCATACTGAACCTTTTTAAAATATAAAGATATGGACAGATAAAAAGCAAAGAGATGGAGAAAAATATGCCATGCTTATATGAATCAAAATAAAAAAGCTGGAGTATCAATCATAATTTCAGAGAAAGTAGATGAAAGCAAACATAATTGTCAGGAATAAATCAATTATCCACAAAGACACCAGAATCTCTAATGTGTATGTACCTAACAATAGAGAACACAGCTACCTGAAGCAAAATATTATTAAAACTGTAAGGAAAAATACATGAAACAACTATTATATGTGGAGATATCAACACCTCTCTATTAGTAACTAAAAAATCTAAAAAGCAAAAAAGTGAAAAAGAATACAGTTGACCTGAGAAATACCACCCTTCAATTGTACTAAACTGACATTCAGAAAATATTTCATACAACAACAGTAAATGAACATTATTTTCAAGTTCACATTAAACCTTCACTAATAGGACCACATTTGGGGTCATATTAAAGATATTAACATTTTTTTAAAAAATATAAACAATACAATGTATGCATTCAGTCCACAAAAGCATCAAACTACAAATCCATAACAGAAAATACCTGGAAAATCCCAAGAACCTTGACATTTAAAACATTAATATATAACTTATGATTTGTCAAGAAAAATTATATATTTCAAACTACATAAATGTGAAAACACAACTTATTAAAATTTGTGGCATACAGTGCTTACAGAGAAATTTATAACAAAGTGAATACATATTAGAGAAGATAAAAATTCAATAATCAAAGCTTCCATTAAGGAAAATAAATAAAAGCAAAGCTATCCTTCAGAATCAGTGAAGAAATAAAAATCTTCCAAGAAAAACAACAACTAAAAGAATTCAGGAGTACTAAGGCAGCACTACAAAAATACTTAAAGAAATACTACACATAAAAGTTTTGTTTGGTTTTGAAGGAGAAGAGAAGAAGAAGAAAGAAAAAATCCCTGAGCTTGTGAATAGATGAATTTCATTAGAAAAGTAGCTGAGAAAATGAGTATTAGGACTGAATTAAACATTAGAAATGAATAAAAAATGGGAGGAAATAAATACCTGTAATAACACAATATAAATGGTCTCCAAATTTAAATTAAAAAAACATAAACTAGCAGACTGAATTAAAAAACAAGACCTAATAATATGTTGCTTACTTACAGGAAAAGACATTCATAAGCTGAAGGGAAAGAATGGAAAATGATATTCCATGCAAATGAAGGTCTAAAGCAAGAAGGAATAACTATTCTCATTTTGGATAAGGCAGACTTCAAGACAAAATTAAGAAGAGACAAAGAAGGTCACTTCATACTGGGAAGAATCCAAAATGAAAACAAAATGATAGTAAATATTTGTGCCCCAAATTATTTAATTACACAAAATACACACTATTCAACATAAAGATTCTGATGCCAATACAATAATATTAGATGATTTCAATATACTTCTTTCATGAAGAGACACACTGTCCAAATATAAAACTAATAAAAAATTCTTTTGACAAACCTAAAAAATAATACATATGATATGGAACTAAAAGACATCTATAGAATATTTCATCTAACAACAGCTGAATTCAGTCTCTTCTCAGACTCTCATAGAACCTTCTTTAAAATAGACAACATCTTAGATCATGAAGCAAGTCTTACAAGATTTTTAAAAAACCAATTTAACTTCTTGCACTTAACAGATGACAAGAAAATGAAATTAGAAATCATTAGCAAGAAAAACAAACAATAGAAATTACATAAATACATGGAGATTGAACAATACACCATTTTTTTTTTTTGTTACCGGGGATTGAATTCAGGGGCACTTGACCACTGAGCCATATCCCTAGCCCCATTTTGTATTTTATTTAGAGACAGGGTCTCACTGAGTTGCTCACCATTGCTTAGGCTAGCTTTGAACTCGTGATCCTCCTGTCTTAAGCCTCCCAAACACCTGGGATTTCAAGCCTGTGCCACCGCACAGTGAACAATACACTTTTGAATGATGAACAGATCAGAGATGAAATCAGGGGATAAATTTGAAAATTCCTAGAAATAAAGGAGAATAGCAAATACAACACACCAGAATCTCTGGGACACTATGAAGTGGTTTCAAAGAGGAAAGTTTATAGCTATGCATGCTTATGTGCATACATCATAAAAATCCCACATAAACAACCTAGTATGTATCTCAAGGTCCTAGAAAAATAAGAATAAAACAATTCCAAAATAGTAGAAGGGAAGATCACAGCTGAAATTATTAAATATACAATAAAAGAACAATACAAAAGATCAATGAAAGAGGAGTTGGTTCTTTTGAAGGATAAACAATATTGATAAACCTTTAACAAATTAACCAATGTAAAGACTCAAATTAATAAAAATAGAGATAAAGAAGATATTGCCAAAGACATTTCTGAAATCAAGAGATTAATTAGTGACTAGTTTAAAAACTTATATTCCAATAAATTGGAAAATCTAGAATAGACAGATTTCTAGACATGTATGACCCAAACAAAATTGAAACAAAAAAGAAGATAATATCTAAACAAATTGATAATAAGCAATGAGATTGAGGCTATAATTTAAAAAAATACAAAACAACAGCAACAAAGTAAACCTCTCCAACAATGAAAATCCCAGGACCAAATCTTTCCCCAGATGCATTTTACCAGACCTTTAAAGAAGAACTATAATCAATGATCGTCAAATTATTCCATGAAGTTGAAGGTGGAAAGAACACCTGTAAACACCTGTATTCATTTTATGAAGCCAGTCTTATCCTGATACCAAAACCAGATAAGAAGACATCAAGAAAAGAAAACTACAGACCAATGTGCCTGATAAACATAGATACAAAAATCCTTAAAAACATTAGCAATTTGTATTCAAATGCATTAAGAAGATTTTACATTAGGATCAAGTTGCTTTTACCCCAAGGATACAAGGTTGACTGGACATATGCAAACCAAAAAATATTATTCATCACATATGCAGAATTAAGGGAAAATCATATGACTACCTCAAAAGATGCAGAAAAAAAGGCTTTTACAAAATTCAATACCCATTTATGATAAAAACACTGAAGAAACTAGGGACAGAATAAACTCATCAATGAACCTCATCATTCAATGGACAGAATGAACCTCATCAATGCAATATATGAAAATCCCAAAG